ACTCTGCAATCATAAATGAATTTCAGGACATCTTTAGGCTAGAGTAGTCAATTGTTTAGGTCACGCACATTAGAGAAGATAGGGTATGTCGCCCCTTGGAGAAGTTAGGATACACATTAAGATACACCTTTTGCATTTTAAAATAAATCTTAACTTTGCAATGTTCTTGCTGCTTTCGGATGGCTTCCTGCATTGCAGTTTTTTACATACAATGTTTCAAAACAGTTTTAGTATTTTTTCAGCAATTTTGTTGTTTACACTGCTGTCTACAAGCTAGCTGACATTTCATACCAGGAGCAGAACACAACTTACTAAAACAATAATATGTCTGCTTCCGTGATTTTATGTTATACTTTTTAAGGAGTAAATTACTTCCTTCTTCCAAGGTAGAAGGACAAGAACCTCAGCTGCAGAGAATGGAGTTTGTTGAAGAATGCTGAAAGGATACTTGGAAAAAACAATGGTAAAAGGACACTCTTCCAAGGGCTGGGAAGAGCATAAGTAAAAGGAGGAAGCCATAGATGTTAACAACAAAGACTGCTACAAATCCATAGCAGAAAAGACAATTCAAAGAGATCAAAAGTGACTCTGGAGAGACTGAAGAGCACAGTAAGGCTGTACGTGCATGTGAACTTGAGGGCTAGTGATTTACTCTGTGCTAGAGAATAGAATTACAGCAAGAGCCAGAACTACAATCTTGCAATCAAAAGGCACAAGTTCAAGCAAACACAGACACATCTGCCTTAACTTTAATCTAACTGAGTAACAACAGACTTAAGAAGCTGGAGCAGAGACTCCAATGTTACCTATGGTAGCCCAACAAAGACATGTATACGCAGCCTGCTAAGCCAATAGTGCTGCATCTTTACTTGTTTCTAATTTTGGTAAGAAATAAGGTAGGCATGTTTCATTGCAGCTAGACCTTTGACTACAGAATACAACATGATTATAGCATGTGTCTCCTGTTGTATTTTTAAGAGATGTCTTGGATTTAGTGCAGTGGATTCATATACCCACACAAATGTCACTGGTAACATGCATTCTGTCTGGAAAACAATTACTTATACATCTCTTGATACATCTACATTGCAGGGTGATGGAGAAGTGCAGCAGTACAAAAACATACCTGATGAAGGTCTAACGTAGTCAAAGCATGTGACAACCACTGCAAAAATACGACTGTCTTGCATGAAAGCCCATTCCATCCAAATAAATAGCTGGAATCCCCCGTGGCTTTGCCAAGTCCCTGCTTGAAGCCTCATGTTACCTTATCTTCATGAAAACATCTACTATTCCAGCTTCCTAGAGTAAAGCTGCCCTATATATGCTATGTGATTGTGCTGCACTAACTCTTTTCAAATGTGCACAGATGTAACCCAAGCGAAGATGTAATAGGCACAGAGGAAAATTAAAGAATTTTAGCAGTAGAATGGAAGAAATCAGAAGACTACAGATTATCGCCTGTAAAACAACTTGTCTTTCAATAACAAAATTCCTTATTTTTGTGTAATTGATGCATATATCTAGCAAAAAAATTTGCTCTTTTTATAGTTTTTCAGTTAATTTCAAGCATCACACTACTATCATGCCACACCTAGGGAATCTATCAACTGTCCCCATTTGACAGCTTGCATGATGTTGTGATAGGAGACATACTGAAATACACAGCACGACTGGGGGTCCTAAGGAACTTACAGCCCCAGAGGTCATTAAGACTGAGGTGAAAGAAAAGACATATCAGAGTTTTAGTAGACAGAAAACTGTTGGGGGGCTGGTTGGGCTGTGGCATGGGGAGACTTAGACTAGAAGTGACAACCTACTAACACCATGAGTGTTCATACAGAGCAATAGTGCAGAGTCGCTACCACCTGGTACATTCAGACCTTGTCTTAAAATCAATTACAGACATCTTACTAAACTGTTTTAGGTTAGGACACAACTGATGAATTCTGAAATATTGCTTGTATTTAATGTTCAAATATAAATATACATTTTGTAATTTGAGTATGTTTTCTTACTTAAATCTTCAGTAGTGTAATTCCAATATTTTAATGCATGCCTGGGTGAAACGAATCACACTAGGTATGCTCTAGGTATTTTTAGCTTGATATCTGCTGTGCCTTCAAGGTCTGTGGACTGCTGCTAAGGCACCCACAAAAAGTTAAGATAAACAAATCTATTGCTAATAGGCTTAAATTTGCTATTCAAGAGTCTGCACAGCTGTCGGAAAATTTTTAAAAGTGTACAATCCAAAATGATGACCATTGCCCCAGGAATGTAGGAGAGTTAACAAACAGCAGCAACAGTGGAAATCTAGGAGACAAAAACCAGAATTCAAACCTCACTGGCCCAGTAAACAATCTTTCAAGCTAATGCTGGTTAAACACACCACGTAGGAGTATGATGTGAACAGCATTATAGCCGACTAGCTCCGATCCCAGCATCCGGATGATCTGCTTGCATCTCAGATACCACCTCTGTCAAAGATCTGGTACTGAACTTGGAATGTGCTTATCCCTTATGCCACCAAGCTCTATACTTAATAATAAATGAACTCTACAGCGGCTCTCCTCTACATTAATTACATACTGATTTAAAGCTTTCATAATGACCTGATCTGAATGTTTTTCTACCTGTGCTACAAGGAGGAGGATGATTAATCCACACAAAGCAGTACAGCTGCTTCTGTTACTTCATGGGTTTAGGGCTTTTCACTGGGCAGTAAGTTAGATAGGAGTGAAGTAAAGTTAACTCCATAGCATCTATAAGAAGTTAAAAAAAACCCAAATGTTTTGTTCACACATAGTTTGAAAAAAAAAAAAAAACGTTTGAAAACACTACATAAAGTGTTGGTTTGGTGTTTTTTCTCAAGTCAGTAGATAAGAAGCTGTATTTTAGACTAATAAACCCCCCCATTTAATTAAATTCTTAACATCAGAAAACATCCAGCTGTTAGGCAGACTAATGTAGTCTGCCCAACAACTTACACATTTTTAACAAAGGGAGTGAACACAACATGGTTTAAGTAATCTCCGCACGACACCAGCGATACAGATAACAATACAAAGCAAGGTCTTACATTACCATTACATATTAAATTGTACCAACACTGAACTCGAAATTTATCTAAAATATTTTCTTTGAAGCATTAAAGGAAAACACTACCAAGACTTGCAAGGCAGTAAAAGAATTACAAATAACTCTAGATGCTATAGATGATAAAGCACATAATTAAAAAGATACTTCAAGTATACTAAGTTCAAATCCTGCGTGCATTTCCTGTAGTATAGAACTCAGCCTGCAAAAGCAAACAAAAACAAGCCCCAGGGAAAAAAAAAAAACCACCCAAACAACTAAAACCCTAACACCACACCAAAACCCCAATGCCATATAGACTTCACACACCCCCTAAGTACACATCGGCAGTTCTCCCAATTCTACAGAAAAACAAATTCGTTTTGTCGTATGCAAATTATTCTCCTACAATTAAGAACAAATTTGTAGTAATTTCAATCTACGCATTTATCTCTTAAAATTACATGCTTTTGCTACGCTGATTGCCTTGCTATGGTGAGAATATCGTGTTTGGGGTATTGCTACACATAAAAATTTCACATCACAAACAGATGCTGCAGAAATGGAAGGTGATGTTACACCTATATCATACATTATCTAGCAACACAGCTATTTAAACATTCATACCTGAATATCACTTAAAACAGGCCCTCTTCAGAGATATGTTATGTACAGCTATATAGGTGCTGCAGCACGGTAAGACTGCTGTTATGATGCATCAGCATACAGGACTTCCGTTCCTTGTGATTCTACTAATTTTGCCATTCAGTGATAAAAGCAAATACGCTATGTTCACTCCTTAGCATTTTTACCCTCCCTTCTCTCCTTGAATCTTTAAAGGTTATATAAACCATAAATAGTTAGTGTTTGTTTTGTGGACTACTTTGTCCTTGCACTAAATGAATTCTTCTCCGAGGGAAAGCAAAACACTACAACTGCTCTAACCAGACTGATCTGTCCTCAATATGCTTTATTAAACAGTGTACCTTTTAAAATAGCTATACTTTCTGAAATGCTGTATCATTGCAAAGTTCTCTTAATTTTATGTTTGCTTTGTCGCTCTTTACTTGAAACCGTAAGCCAAATACTATGCACTACATGCGCTGTAAAACAGGAAAAACACTTTTAGTCAAGAATGGCTGACTTATGCAGTAAAAGTAAATAAAAAAATTAAACTTATACTTTACAAGAAAGATTATTAACTTGCCTAATTTACAACAACTGGTAAACACCTTTCATTTAAGAACAAATTTTACAGTTTCATCTTTAGTTACGATAAGTAAGTGAACACCAAGACTTCTTTATAGATACAGTAAAACCATTTTTTCTTTTTAAGCTAGATGCACAGTTTAAGACACCTGGACAGATAATCGCACTCAATTCAAAGCCCAGATTGGTTAGCTTTCAATAGATGAAATATTTTTGCATATGCACAAGAAAAATCTGTTTTATTGTCTAAATACTTTTTACAGTTTCATCTCCCTCATCCATAGAAACATGCCGAAACACCCGGTAGGAGTCACAAGAATATTACATTTTCATAGTTTTCTCCTAAGTGGCATGGGACTAATTCTCAGGTAACTAAACAGAGTCACTTCAAAATAATTTAGAAAGCATCCTGCAACATTACCACGTAATGGCCAGTACCTTGTTCGTAACAGCATGTAGCTGGTATAGTACTGAAAACACACGTGAGTGCACCCACGTTTGGGCTTTATTTATCCACACTGACTAAAGCTGCCTTTTAAAAAGGCCCCAGTAAACACACAGAACCCCGTTTATAAATAAATTTCCGTTTGTGATGCGCAGCAGCTGCTGGGTTTCTGAAGCATTTTACGCTACAATACAGGCTAGCCTATATAGGCACGCTATCTGCAAACATGACATGAAAGCACACGTCTCACAACAGGAAAGTAATAATTAACCTGCACGAACTGCTGTCCGATTCATTTTCTTCTTCGCTTGCTCTATCATCTGTTTCTTGTCTGCCAAGCCAACGCGCACCTCCGCAGTCTTCTGCTGAGAATTCCAGGGTAGGGATTTCCGAGGTGGATGCCATTGGCCAAGGAGGTGAATTCTGGAAATCCTGTTGGCTGGCCCTCCTGTAACCAACTGAGGTTAAAGGTAGGTTGCCTGAATCTAAAAACTTTGTGCCGCCGGTTGGTACATTTTGCCCTCCGTTCCAGAAATCTCCCTGGGGGTTCTCAACTGCGGAGTTAGGGGCTGACGCCTGATGACCAAACCACCTCCATCTGATTTTTAAAATCTGCTTCACGTCAAACTCTTTACGAGAACCAGACATCCTTAGTGAAAGCCAGTGATCGTCTAGGCAACAGGGTAAGAAGCAGCACACATAAAAGAAGATTTGTGCACCCAACCAAGACAAGAGAAACACATGCTCTGCCTGTCTGTGGCAAGCAGATTTTCTACAGGAGGAGGGGAGAAAGCAGTGCATTCACGTAAAAAGAGCTTCTTTAACGATATGTCATTTGAATATAAACAAAAGGCAATAGACGGTGAAAAACCCTGGGATAAAAAGAGGAGGTGAAACAATCACCTCGATCAGGAAAAATGCTAATCGCTTTACCCTAAAAGCTCCAAGGCTGTTTCTGTTGCTCTCCTCTGACCATTAGCTTTCAAAAAACACCAAACAGTATTCATTAAAGCCCTTTCAAGAGCTGAATACCACCCCCTTTTCTCAAACCACAAATCACAGGGAAGTAATTCCTATACTGCATCTTAGAATCTCTGCTTCTTATTCTATTAACTCTTGCGGCTACAGAGGGGAAAAACCCACAAAAAGCAAATTAAATTCTTCCTGCACTGCTAAAGAATAAATCTACAGAAAAGACGCAAAACCAAACCAAAAATAACTGATTATGCTGGGGAGAAACTGAACTGTAAATAATTCTTTTTCCCATTACAGGACATGCACTAACTTAAAAAGGACAAGAACAGCCTGGAAGGCTCAGGGGACTAGTACTGGGTTATAGAGCCTTTCATCTTGATGTGCTTTGATTCAAATCTAGGTCTGCAGTAACTGAGAATTTATATCTGAAACGAGCTAATGGCTTCCATTCACTTACACACCACTAAAAGCAAAAGCAAGGAAAAGCTAAGGGGTCCCTCTCCAAGAAGGCAGGAACACCTCCTGCAAAACAGACAATAAATTACGACTTCTCCAAAGGCTTCCTTCTAATCATACACAATCAGCTGTTCCAGATCAGGTTAAAGGTACCGTGATAGAACAGTGAAAAAGAGAGACGCATACTTTTGAGACAGAATTCCCTCCAGATAGGTGATTTCTGTAATGTATTAAAATAGCCAGCAAAAGTTTTTACTTGAAAGAAGAGGAGGAGAAAGCCAAAAGGACAAAACACACAATGACCAATGTACATTTCCTATGAAAACCAGCCTGCTTCCTCCGTGACATATGGAGCTAGTTAGGTACAAAATGCTGAGCCTCATTCCAGTCCCATGCAAACAGTCATAGCAATTTTAGAACAACAAAGAGGCACTGGATGTTATCAATCCTTGATAAACAGATCTACGTTTTCCATCTTCACAGTTCGGCTAGGCTGTTCAACTCTCCAGGACACATATGCAACCCATTTCTGAGAAGTGCTGCTTGTCTACCTACAGTTTTCATCAAAAGTTAAAGTCACCCTCTCAGATGAACATTATGAGCTACAGGATCTGTGACCTTGTCATTGGGATACCTGCAGTGTTCTTTAAAACAGGTTATATACAGAGTCCATACGAAAAATTAAACAGTGCCCAATTTTACCCACCCAAGACCCAAATGCTTCCTTTCATCCCCAAGGCCAAGAGTAAACCATGTTATTTTCTTGGGAACCACAATGCCGAAAGGCCTAGTTTTAATGTGGAAAGCACACCCATCATTGCTCAGAACACAGTTCTTTATGAAACTGTTACTCACAAATGCTCGCAAAGCTCATTTCTATAGAAACAACATTCCAGCTGTTCTCTACCGAGAGATGCTGCGTTTCAGTGTGTACGTTGCTGGCATCCTGGCCTCCAAGAAGCTACATACTAAGACCTTTCCAGCATGTCCAGAAAACAGTTTAAGATACTTGGAATGTGAGATGATTAAGCAGGTAAATTTACAAAGTTGTTACCATCTTTGCTGGGGATTCATTTAAACACAGGCAAACAGGGAAATATTTAAGAAGGATAATGATTTAATATATCAGCGTAAAAGTTGTACAGATGTTTAACCAAAATGATACAACATGCAGACCCTATTTCCTCATCTTGTACGCACACAGCTAGCTGTTAGGAGCTTAACGGCAGCGTTCAAACACCATCATCTGTGTAACTGCAAATTGGGTGAAACTACAGCACCGCTTAAGCGGTAACAACGAAACGGCATCTTTTTCTTTACCCTCTCCTTACATTTTGTGTTGGTGTCACGTGTTCATCAAGGGCGGAGAAGCAGGACAAGCAACTGGTGTATTTGTTAACATTCATCACAGCAGTAGTATCTTCATTGCCCATTTAACTATGAAAATTAAGTTTTACATACCTTTATTTCTGCTGGTATGGTAAACCCGTTATACATAAGGCCTGACCTGGATTCTCTTTCTTGTGTAACAGACTTACTTAAAATTCAAACTGTCCCAGTACAGGTCTATTAAGACAATGGCAGATTTGCCGATTCTAGTGCTTTTTCAGCACTTTCTCAGGACTTACTGGGAAATACAGTCTAATTACTGCTTTTCTTCAGCTGTGAAGCTATGGGCTCAACAGAGATTAAAAACCAAAATGTGCTGAGGTTTTAAGAGACTAAAATGCAGAACTCCATTTTCTTTAATTTTTCTAGATGATACAAACTCTCACTCTTCCATACACTCTCCCAAATTACAGTTCTAAACCAGACTGCATAAATACCTAAAATACTTCTGTTTCAGATAACTTAGATGTTATTTGTAATACAAACTTGTTAAGTACAGTGACAATTAATCCTTTAGTTTAAATTGACGACATTGCTCGGAAATAACAGGGGGCCTCTTCTTGTTCTGGACAATCTTTACTACTATGAATAATGTAATAGCTTTTACCAAGTCCCCTGCTGGGAGTTAACAGACTTTTGAGGAGATCTCAAATGATGAACTCTTAGACTTTCACTTACTGGGACCACCTGAACCTCATCTTTGACATTTCATTCGGTGATTGGTGCTCACAAATTCAATGGCCTCCCACTACATGTCTTTCTAAGAGGTGAGTGAAAGGAGGTGAGCGAGTGGCTGTGTGGTGCTTGGTTGCTTATGGGGGCTAAACCACAAGAACACCCTAACACATGTCTGAGAAACCTCCTAAAAAGGTAAGCTGAGCAGTGCCATCTGAGTCAAACGCAGTAAACACAGGCTTGGCAAGGTTTTTTCATTTATTAACGCAAAAGTTTTCGTTTAAGGAAAATACAAGACTGCTTACACTCGTTTTTTCTGTCCTTTGTCACTGCTGCAGCTGAATAACCATTTTTTGTTTTGTGGTGAATCATAACAGGATTTTAAATACAGGTACAGTGTCCTACTTGGGAACATGATTCTGTTCACATTTCCAGGTTGTGTAATCTTACTGTGAAGACAATTTTGAGAGCTCCGATTCCAACTGACTGGATTGATAAGCCTAAGAGTGGAGCATCTGAGCATTTAAGTACATAACTTCTCGCACATAAACAGCTCCAAATAATAAATTCCTGCAGTTAGCAGTGGGGGACATTTCCCAGATTCTGCCTTGTGAATAAACCAAAAACATTTAAATGCAAACTGTATGCTAAAACTGCAATTGTGTAAATAGGTAACACCAAGAACATAGCATGACAGCTTTATAAATTGCTCTTTTCAAGATCTTCAAAACAGTTTATCTCCACAGATATTCTTTGATTCTTTGACATTATCTATGTTTATTTATACAAGTGTTAAAGGGAGATTGCAATCCCACGTAACTAGTTAAAATACAGACAACATTTTTTACTCCTAAGACACTTCTGCATATTTTGAGGAAGATACACTCTAAATGTTAAGTACATCACTGGGAAATATGAAAAAATATTATTTAAATAATCAGGTCTAAGTGCTTTTATTCATTATGGCTTTTCCTTTTTCACTAGGAAGTCAGTTAGATTTTTCAATAGTTTTTTTAAATTCTGTGTTTATGGAATATGCTTTCAAGGCACTTAAGATTGGAATCTCAACAGCACTTTTCATAGTAAGATTTGTCCTGTTACCATTTTTCAAGTTTTGGCTTCAAAAAACTATCACCACTCAACTTCAGAGCAACTCAGATACCTTGAAAATATTGTATTTAGTCTGTCAAATGGATTTAAAATCATCCATTTTTTAATTGAAGATCTAGGAGCATAAAGGCTCAGCTAGTCCTTAGAAGATATTAATGATCCTTTTAAGTGCCAATTAAGAATGAAAATGTCAAAATAATTAAAGTCTTTGTTTTGACTGCAAAAATTGTTTCTCTTGAAAAAATATTGTTTAACAAAAGCATTAAATATAGAAAGATATATTTTAGACATAACCAGACTCATTAAGATGTGATCAAGTAGTATATTATTGTTAATGTTTAACAATACTAGATATGTATTCTAAAGCACAGGAAAGGTTCACTGACTGTAAGATGTTAATCAGTTAATCAAATGCATACTTACAGCATTAAAAGGCATTCAAAATTTAATACACTTCAAATAGGGATTTTTAAACTTTAAAATATTAATTTGAAGCATTAAAATAACTGTTCAAAGAAAACTGTTCAAAGACAACCCCCAAACTGCAATTCTTACACCTATGATTATATTAAAAGAAATATTAAATGCTTACTTTCTTTTTTCATCCCTATTCCTGTGTTCCAGCCCCAAAATTACACAAATAGCTCAAAGACTTGAGGAAGACAGCTACGTTCCTGCTCTGCAATTCATTAAAACAATAATCACTTCCTATCGCAAGGTTTTTTATATGTGAAAACAATTCTGGTTCATGGTTATGTTGTCACTTAGAGCAGCAACAGCACAGCTCATCCAGAAGAGGAAAACACCCTACAGGTACTGACTGTATGCACTTAAATTCATTGTCCAGACTGGCAGAGATGAGCTGCAGCCAAATTACTGGCATTACATCGCAACTTTCCGCCACTTTGCACTGCACATTTCCCTTGAGAGGTGCAAGCCATATGTTTGGAAACACTGACTTTAGAGCACTCAGCTTAACAGTAGCATGAAAAGTCCTGTACAGAGCAACAGCCTGGTTTGTTGTTTATTTTATTCAGATAAGGGCAGGGTGAGAAAGATTTCTGTAATAGAAGACTGTGGCTTTGAGCAACCTGGTTTAGTGCAAGGTGTCCCTGCCATGGCAGG